AATCTGCCCATTCTAACCTCTTCAGTGAATCCGCAGCTTCCACAATATCCGGCAACCTGCTTCGACTATTGAAGATGACAAACTCCAGTTTTGACCATCTTCAAAACCGTTAGAAATTTCACTATTCTGAACCTCGCGGTCGTCCGAAATGGTCTTTAGCTAGACAACCTTTGCTGCAATTCCGGGACCTCACTGAAAAACATCCCCGAGAAGTTGCGGCCCAAATGTTGGCAATTTTTAAAAGGTCCAGGAATATTTCGTATTCCAACAGAATATTCTATCAACTGCACCTGATGTCGTCGCCACTTTAGTCTGTCTTCATTTTTACAGAAAATCTGATTTACAAAATTTGACCGTACGATTTGTCCGAAATACTCAAATTGCAGAAACCACTATTGGTACCAAAACGTTACTCCAAATGCTTAGATCAAGCCAAAACATTTTGTACGCCTCAGATTGTGGCTGCACATGAGCGCAAGCACTGCATCCTCCCTCCTCGTGCTCATTGCCGTCGTAACACTGGTTCCCTTCCTGTGTGTGACGTGGCACTACGACCGCCACGTGTCGATGCGTAGATGCCACGGGCGCTGAACCTGGCCTCCCATGTGGCGTTACTGGCTGCTGACGCCCTGTGGGCGTGGCTGCTGACGCGACGACGACGGTTCACTGACTAGGTGCCACGCGTCTGTCTTCCCTCTCTGCCGGCCGTGTGACGCGTGCTGCAACTGGACCCGACGTGCCGGTTGACTGCCACGGCGCGTGTGAGCGCGTCTGAGGCTAGGCCTCACGCGCGGCCCACTCTCTTCTGGTGGCGCTGGGGGGGCGCCTGGCTCCTATGGCGGCTCTGCTTTTGCATGTTCTGGACTCCTCTCGTCGAACCTTGCTCTGGTATGCTCAAACATGTTTCAAGCAACTTGATTTCTGTGCAGTTCGAAAAGCACACATGTTTTTGTTCCAAAACGCCACCGACGGGCTCTGATACCAATTGGGGAATCTGGGATCCCGCCAAGACCCTATATAGAAATCATAGCAAGCAGAAGAAAAAACACACCCACAACTCAAGGAATACCACCATAAATTTAACGTTGTTCGCCTCATGCCTACGTCCACGGAGAGTAGCCGGTTATACAAACAATGGGGAGATTACAGAAAGATTACAAGTAGAGGATGAGGCTCACACTTTCCTCACTCACCCACTCACCCGTCTCCTCACTCACAGACCGAGAGAGACAGTCTCTCCACCTCACATCTGACTCACCCTCTTTGGTTGCTCTTTTCTCTCTCTCAAACTCCTCTTACCTTCTTCATTATATACACATTACAGGTAGACGGAGAGCTAGCCTTGCATCATGGCAGCTGTTCTTGTGCGTTGGCTTGCACATGGCCAGCTTGATGCCAACATGTTGCAAGCACATGAGAATCACTTGTAGTTTGACAAACTTAATGTAGGTTGGCAATTGTGGAAGGGATCCACCCCTCACCATGGGTGATAGTCCAACAGTATTCAGTCTAGTTATGGGTTAGAAACAGGGCCTACTCTCTTTTGCGGGTCGATCTGTTTTAGCTAAACATTTCTACTTTCTATACCCACGTATTTACTCTCGGTTTTTAAAGCTCTGGGTTATTTTATAAACAAGTTTGAAGTTGTGATTGGTGTTTCTTTGAAAGAGTGAAGATGGGAAGGGATGTTGAAGAATTGTTTATTGTGTTCAAGTCGTTGGAGGGTTGGGTTTAAAGGACCGGGGATTTTTAATTAGCCTTTTTGGTGGAATGTTGACGGAGCCTAACATTTAAGCAGTATTGTTATCAAATTTACGAGAGGGCTAATCTCTCGATTTTCAACCTTTATCTCGTGTTCTTGGGTTGAAGGAGTATTTTGTGGGAAAGGAATTGATTAAAAAGGTCTTTTCAGTGTGTGGAAATGACAGTCTATTGACTTTTTGAAGATGATGTTCCAACTGTTCAATAGTCTTATAGGTCAAGAGGTGGCAGGTTTTTGTCTTTTTGGGTGCATCATTTGCTAATTTCGGTACTAAGAGTGAAGAAGGGATTGTTCTAGTTCCTTTCCACAAATTGGCGGAGCATATTCTCCTATGCCTATTCCTCAAACAGAGTCCTTGATCAGGTTGTATGGAAATTTTCTAAAACTGGAATATATTATTAAGTCGTTATTTCTTTTTAGTAGACAATAGTCTTGGCATGAAGTTACTGTTGTGGGTCTTTTGCTTTCTGGAAGCAATTATGGATACTTCACTTCCAACGAAGTGGATTCTCTTCATTTGGAAATTGATGCATAAATCTTACGCTTACATTGAGAAGCAGAGGGTGAATTTGTCCACAAAATGTCCAAAATGTTGGCAAGATGATAATCTTCAGAACATCTTTGTTTTCAATGTCCAATCTCAAAATATGTTTGGAAGGGTCTCAATTAGGATTAGATTTTGAGAGGGCACACCTCAGCGTTCGGATGGTTGGTGGATGGTTTACAAGCTCTAGATGAATTGCTGTAATTGAGGCTATTAAGATTTTGTGGGTTTTGGTATGGCAACAGAGCTGCCTTTGAGCTGTAAATTTTATCCTGGATAGACCTCCTTGATTTGTGAAAGAAACTGTATAATACAAGTTCTTTCGTTGGCAGAACCATTTATATCTCAGGTCAGGTTCCGAATTGCACCATTTCACAATTACTAATAACTTTTCTGTCTCCTCATTTATATTTTGATAGATTTCTCATTGATGGGCATGGAACAAGCATCTTCTTCGAGGAGGTGCGCATGGATTGGGGTGATCACCAGGGCAGGTTCTTATTAAGCACAGTACCTTTCTTTGCCTCGTTGCCCTTGTTTTAAGCTCGAGCTTGCTCAAGTTGTCAAATGGTGTGCTTCAGCGGAATAAAAAGCTTACTATTGTCAAGAGCTAGTTCAACAGCTTAATGTTCACGAGATTCTGGAATATTATGTATTTAATTAAGGACATTAAAGCTATGTCTTGTTGTTTTGATTATCTAAAGGTGTTAAGGTTCCTAGATCTTTTGTTGTGCTGCCACACCTGAAGCCAAAGGTTTGCAGGGTAATGGTTGTTTGTATTCCTTGTTTATATTATATATATATATATTTATTTATTCTTCAACAATCCCAACAACACCACAAATTATGATAATTGGAAATTAAGGTCCCTTTTGAAACCAACATTTTTAATAAACTTTTTTTTTTCTTTCATTACTAAGGTTTTAGGCTATATTTGAATGATAAGAATCTTTAGAGAGAATTCTTGTGTTAATAATATTCGAGTGTTTTGTTTCGTTAAGAATTCTCAATGAGAAAATAATAACATTAGAAGTATTGTGAGCCTAATTATTTTTTCTTCTTACATTATTAACATTCTTTTAGGAATGTTAAGATTTTTATGAAATATTGGGAGAATCAAGTTACTCTTTTCTTTTTTTTTTTCAATTGATATGAGAGTAATTAAAAATATGAGCAATATATCAAACAAAAGAAAACCAACAATCATCAAGCTCAACAACCACCCCTATTGGAGAAATTCTTGGAATAATTCCTTGCGTGTACGGTGTGAAACACGTAATCATCACATCAAATATATTACCACACTATATATATATATATATAAGTTGAACATAACGTAAATAGTTTGGATAAAACCAAACCAAACCATATACAAAGAACCAGAAATACTTACAGAGAAGTAGAAAATTTATAAACAGATGGTAAAAACCTTGAAATGAAACCAAATGTGATTGAGGCTTGTGTTAGACACAATTTCCTTAAGACAAATTCGTCATTCACTACGGTACGCACGAGTTTTTATTGGACATTCATCTCCCATAATACAACAATCGAACCTTGCAAAAGCAACACTACCATGACAAGTCTAGTGAACCTTGATATGCAGGAGAATTCTATTACAGAAAGGACAGAGTGTCAAAGGAAAGAAATATAAGATGAAATCTATACCAAATGAATGCAATGGGGGCCTTTTTATATAGGTGAATTGGTGGCTCTTCGAATGGTCATGGTGACTTTTCGATGAAGAGACACACATCTTCTATTGAATAGGTGTAATTAAACAGACACATCTGTTCTTAGAAAACAAGTTTGAATTCTATATCAAATTAGATTCTATTTTAACCCCCAAAAATAACAAATTTTTAATAAAAATCAAATTTTATATTAAATAATTTTTTTCTTAAAACCATTATCAAATAGTGCACTTTGGAGTCAATTTCTCATTCACCTATTAATGGTTTCCAAACTATTTTTCCAACAATTCCCTACATCAATGAAATGAAGAAAAATTATGCAAGACGCAATGCAGACTCAAAGAAAATTCGATTGGAAATATTCTGAATGGGGATAGGTAGCTTTTAGCTTTGAACATTCCTTGGTGAAAGATTATTAGACTTACTAGCTAATCAGTGAACGTGATGGCTTGAACTGTTCAGCCATTTATGTAAACCAAGACAATAGAATGTGGGATTTCAATAGAAATCAAAATCCCAAGATCTCTAGTCAAATCAACTGAAGAAAACATTAACAGTTATGTACCTGACACCATTGATGAAAATAATCTAAACGGTAGACTTCTTGGTGGTTATTGTCTTCCACTCCAAAACTCTACTCTTGTTTCTCTCACACACAGATGGGAAAATATGAGATGGATTGAGTTGGGACCTCAACCACATATTTATAAAGCCTCGATTCCATATTAGCCCATCATAAATAAGTGGAATTACAAGTGGGCCTAAACTAGTCTCTACACATATGGTTTAACCTATACTTCTTTAGTGCACATAGTATGACCAAAAATATATGCTATTAGAGATGTGTCCATGTCACAACCCGAACCCGCCCCCATAGGTTTAGGATTGTAACAGGCCAGTAATTCGTAATTACCGAAGGCCTAACTGGACAAAGCAAACAAAGGGGCTAGCGGAAGCTATTATGTAAGAAACAAAACGTCCAATTAGCTGTGCATTTAGATGAGGCGAAAGACATTGCTATACATATATGTATATATATACTTATATACGCGCAGAAGTACAACAAGCCATTACAAGTTCGTCTAAAAAGACAAGCAAAAGGGGAAAAAGATACCCTTATTGTCAACAATTATAATACTAGTGACAACTTGACCAAAACACATGAGTGCATAACAAAAAGGTGGACACTGGCCAGATCAAAACTTAGGTAGATGGGGACCTCGCGGTGAGGCATGATGGTTAGCTTGGCAAAACCCGAGTAAGACCAACGCCACTACGTCCTTTCCTGAGCTAGATCACCTACATGGTATATCAAGATGTGAGCTAGGGCCCAGTGAATAACAACTGAATAAAGAGAGTATGAATGACTATTATAACATAAAACGAAACACAAGCTAAGTAGGTTCATATGACATTTGAGAAGCATAACATTTCGCATAGTATATTCAAAAGCAGTAAATATGGGCAGTCTAGAAGACTGAACAGATGGTCGTGAAGACCGGTTAGGCGGTCAGGGAGACTGAACAGATGATCATAAAGACCGAAGATCAGATAAGATATTGCCATATTAAACAGGAGTTCCATAGAAGGGAACTAACAGAACTGTACTCATACGAAGAGGTGCCAGGGTTGACATAGTAAATAATGGAAACTGGAATAGAATTATCACTCAACCACATGAGAATTATATTGGAATAATGCATAAGTTGAAGCAAGCAAAGGATAAATTAAATCAAATGCATGTTTACAACAATGTTACTTACAGTGGGTTTCGTGATGCAGGTGACTGGAACTTGGTGTTTGACCTACACAGATAAATTAAAACGTAGAATGCTTAATTGTCACACATTAAACTTATTGGTTCCTTTACTTAGGAATCGAATAGTCCAATGGTTGTTAACTCTCATTAAACGTTCATGCATTGCATATGGATAGTAATTACGGGTACAAAACATGCTAACGGAGGCCCAAGAATGGGGTAAATGAAGCAGAAAAGTAAAATCGGAGTCACCAGACAGCCACACGTGCGGAGCCCCTTGGCCGCACGTGCGGGACTCTAGTCGCACGTGCGCTACCAGGTGCTTTTATTTCAGAATGCTTCCAGCACCTCCCCTGTTTTCCGTACATGTGGGCCTACCCGCCGCACATGCGCCTGTGCTTCCCGCACGTGCGGGCTCTCCAGCCCAAATTTCTCCAAATCAAACCCAAATCCATTCAAATTAAAGGCCAAAACTTAACAAACATGGTGTACAACCAATTTCCAAGTCCAACTCAAAAATAGAGTTTCAAATTCAAACTCAAGGCTCATCAACAACTTCCAAAATTAAATAGAAACTCTATGTTTCAACAAATTTATAGACATCTGAGTTAAAGTCATGCAAAATTAAGTAAATAGGCTTGAGTATACCACATATACAAGGGTTGGGAAGAATGTACTCTATTAGGGTTATAACACACCCCTATTACTCAACTTCTCTCTCTCTCAACTCCATGAGTTCAAGGTACCAATTATCTTCGTGCAAGAATTTAAGAAGAACCCTTACCTTTATAGGTAAATTTGATGAAGTTGCCCCAAATTTTCCCTTTCTCCTTCACCTTTCCCACTTTCTCTTCTTTCTCTCTTCAGTCAACCCTAGAATACTCTTGACTTCCCAAAGTTTCTATCTCTCCATCCCTTATATTGAACTCATAAATATTAACTTGGGTTAGTTAAGTGTGAGTCTCTTTACTGAAGTTATTTAATTAATTACATTACCACTCTCTTAATTTAAGGTCAATTAACCCTACTCACTTAATCCATCAACTAATCTTTATAACTCTACAATTTAGCGAATCAGACAAGTCTTATTAGAAGGGAACATATCTGTTAGCAAACACACTACACAAAAATAGGCATACAAGGCACATAAGATGCATAATTCAGATTAATTATAAAAGTAACAATTAAAGAAAAAGGCGGGTGTTACAGTCCATGACCCGATCATGTTTTTGTATGGATCATAATTTAATTGGTCGAACCGACACCACTCTTACTTCATTTAACAGTATACAATGTACAATTATTTGATATATGTAGGCCCACCTACAGCAAATTCCTTATAATCTCCCACTTGGGCTGCATAGGTCAACTCAATATTAAACATTGCTAACTTTATGAGCTCAAACTTTTGTTGTTAAAATTTATGAGTGTCATCTTTGAAACAATCTAGTCCACTAAAAACACTAATATAGGATCATAGTGGCCTTTGTCACATTTATCGCTCCATGACCCATCTATGGTCACAAATACCAATGTTATCAGTGACAGATCAAGTATGGATGCGTAGTATGGAAATTTCATGTAAAATGATCCCTTATCATGTTTATTTCCAATTGGTCCATGTTTATAACTCAAAAGAGTTCTTGTATTGTCTTTTCAAACTTTATGTTTAACCAGAGTAGAAAAATACATCTTTATTTTAAAATCATCTAGAAACTAAAAGTGATCACTACAAGTGTCAATTAACTACAGAAAGAGTAATATAGACTCCCACTAACAAAGCACATCACTAGAACTAATCACTCTCATATGAGCTACATGCTTCTTCAACACTTTATGTGGTAAGCCCTTAGTAAGCGAATCCACAATCATGAAGTCTGTCATAATATACTCAATTGACACATGATGATTCCAAACTATTTTCTTTACGACAAGAAACTTTATGTCAATTTCTTAAAATAAAGTTCAGTAACTTTATTATCACAATTGATCATTAGTGACTTCTCAATGTAATTTACAGCTTGAAGTCCTGAAGTGTATAAATATCTGCCAAGTATTCCAACTGCGTATGCGATATCCGAATGCATACAAACTTGAGAATACATGAGGCTCCCTATTGCTAAAGCATAAGGGATATCCTCTTTTTATTTCTCCTTTATATTTTTATTTGGGTATTAGAGCAAACTCAATTTATTACCTAATGCACAAAATTTTGCATACCAAATTTATTGAGCACCCTTTCAACATATGCCTTTGATGAGAAGCCAATTATACCACATGATCTATCACAGTGAATCTAAATGCCTATCACAAAAGATGCATCACCAAGACCTTTCATCTCAAAATTCTTTAAAAGAAACCTCTTAATGTCATGCAATAGACTTATATCACTGTTAGCCAATAAGAAGCCATGAACATATAACACTAGAAAAATAAATTTACTCCCACAAATCTTATGATAGACACATTGATCCGCAGTGTTTTCCTTAAATTCCAAAGAGGAAATCATTTGGGAAAACTTAAGATACCATTGATTGTATGCCTACTTTAAACCATAGATGAATTTCTTTAGTTTGCAAACCAAATGTTTTGATTGCCCCATTATGGTTTCTTTAACGTTGTCGTTAAGAAACACAGTATTTACATCCATTTGGTGAAACTTTAAATCGTAATGAGCCACAAGTGCCACAATAATCCTAAACGAGTCTTTCAATAAAACTGTAGAGGAAGTCTCTTTATAATCAATGCCTTCCTTTTGAGTGAAGCATTTATTGACAAGTCATACTTTATATCTTTCGACACTGCCTTTAGGGTCTCGTTTTGGTCTTAAAGACCCATTTATAACCAATTGGTTTTACTCTTTTAGGCAATTCAATAAGATTTCAAATGCCATTGTCTCTCATATGCTTTAATTCATCATCTATAGTATCTATCTTTTTAAAGAGTGAGCACTTTGTTTGGCTTGACTGAAAGAAATTTGAACATCTTTCAATCCTTTTTCAAACTAATGCTCTTGGACATAAATGACATAATAAACCAAAATTGTTGATCTCTTCTCCCTGTTTAGTTTCCTTATAGGTGCTTTCAATTAAAGTTATTGAGATTCTTCCGTATTAGTAGGAGGTAACCCATGAATATTTTGGTGACATGTATCTGCATTTTGTACAATAACAGGTGTCACAACCTTATTATTTTCAATATTTACTATAGGAATGTCAATACTTTCCTCTTCAAACAAAATACTATTGGGTTGTAAACTCCCACTACTTTTAGCATTCTCAAAAATTTAAACATTATTCATCTCAATAATGGTATTACTGAATGGGTAAGAAAACTTAAAAACCCTTAACGTTTTTCCAAGTGTCCAATAAAGTAGCAACTATAGTTCTTGAGTCCAATTTTATTTCATTTGGCTCATAAATCCGAACTTTAGTTAGACAACCCCATACATGAAAACACCTAATATTAGGTCTCTTTCTAGTCCATAATCAAATGGGTTTTAGCTACTACCTTACTATATGCTCAAATAAAAAATTAAATTGTAGTCTTTAAGGCCTTTCCCCAAAGAGATTCTGGCAAAGAAGAATGATTTATCATACTTCTAACCATATCTTTTAGGGTTCGATTTTGCCTCTCAGATACACCATTTTGACGTAGGGTCCCTGGCATGGTGTATTGAGGAACGATGCCACATTCTTGTAAGTATCTCGCGAATGGCCCTGGACGTTGTTCACCTGATCGGTCAAATCTACCATAGTATTCACCACCACAATCAGATCTAAAGGCTTTAATTTTCTTATCAAGTTGATTTTCAACCTCAACTTTAAATGCCTTGAATATATCCAGTACTTGTGATTATTTTATTTTGTTATTATTATTTTTTTTTTATGTATTAAGTACAGATACCCATAATGAGAACAATCATCTATGAAAGTGATAAAAAATTGTTGGCCATTCCAAGAAACCGTAGGGAATGGATCACAAATACCGATATAAATCACTTTTAAGACGTTTGTACTGCTGTTGGCTCCTAACTTCCTTATGTTTGTTTACTTCCCTCTTTATATATTCGTTATGAATTTGTAAAATTTGTAAAATCAAGAGGATCAAGAACTCCACTTAACACAAGCCTTTTAGATCTCTATTAAGAGATATGATCTAAATGTTTGTGACACAAAATAGAAGAGCTCTGGCAAATTAATTTTTGCTTTGTACCATAATTTATTACATGCAAAGTTTCATTTAAGTGAGAGGCATCCAAGTATAACCTATATAGATTTTCAATCAAAGAATCATTACCAATAAAATTTGAATTTTGAAAGAGATTAAATCTTCATTTTCTAAATGTACAAGCATAACTGGATTTGTTCAAACAGGAAAAAGAAATCAAAATCGTCTAAATGATGGCACATAAATAGTATCATCTAAATTAAAATAAAAATCAGATCCTAATATAATCTATAGATTTGAATTGCCTCAACACATACTTTATTGTCATCTCCCATGTAAATGAACCTTTCGACATTCACTGGCCAGACAACTCCATAGGCAACTCCGCATTGTAACACTAATTTGAATAGTAGTTCACATATCTATTCATCAAGTCTTGGTTGGTACTTCAGCTAAATTAAAACCACAACAAACAAAATGGAAATTGTCACATTTCTTTGCGAGCTAAGTAATGGTATTTGGGACAATCCTTCTTCACATGACCAGCAACCTTCTTGCAAAAGAAATATTAAAGAACCTTATTCTATTTCTATTGCACTTTTTCTTGTTAAGTCCCAACATCTGCAGTTTCCTTACTTTATTATCTCTTTCCTTTTTAGTGCTTGAATTGCCATGAGAAAAATTATTAAGTGAGCACTTTTTGTCTTTTCTTGTTTTATCATCACTTTCTCTTGCACACACAGTAAGCAACGAGCTCATTAAGAGTCCACTTTTCCCTTTAAATTTTATACTTAATTTTAAAAGGACCAAATTGTGTAGGAAGTGAATTCAGAATGACATAGACATGAATTTTATAAGAAAATTCTAGCTTTATTGTTCTCATTCTAGTAACAAGATTAGACATCTCTATAGTGTACTCTTTTATATTTCATTTGCCATTATACCGCATGGTGACAAGTTTTCTAAAACGCATACTTGTCTCCACCTTTTTCGATGTAACAAATCGGCTTGCAATCTGGCTTAGAAATTTCTTAACATTCCTTCCTCAGATATTGCACCTCGAATTGTGTTAGAGGTAGAGAACATTATTATCATAAGACTTACACGATTCAAACCTTCCCACTTTTAATATGTAACTTTATATCAATTGCAGTTTTATCAGTAAGTGTGGAAAGCTCATCAACATGAAATGCACAATTCAAATACATACACCAAAAAACAATAGCAACATGTTCTTTTCAATTTTGTAAAATTACAACAATTAAGAACTGGAATAGTATTTAAACTCATAGATATAGAAGATGCATTCACTTTATATAAGACAAAATAAATCTCATAATTAATAAATGTTCCATCTACCTTAATGCATTGATAAAAATATAGCCATAATTATTATTATCATGCAAAAAAATTAGTCTAATTGTAGGGGCAATTAATTAGACTATAGGGCATTAACTTTAATAATAAAGATTAAATCTGTAATAATGGGCCCTCATGAGAAACCTAACGCATCATTACAATCAAATCTTTGAACAAGTATTATGACATGCAAGTGGTTTTCTCCCAATAAGGCTAATTAATATGAATAATGTAAAAATAGGTCTAGCCAAACAATAAGTCTTCCTTTGGGCTGACTATTGAATGCATAGATTAATTCCATAATTATATCACTCATATTATTTACCTTATACCGTCTATACCCGGCCAAAATAATAACCTTCCTTTGGGCCGATTAATACATGCATATATCTAGACATAACCATATGCAATTCAATACTTTTACCTCAAATTCAAGAAAATTTACATGACAAAGACTACTTAGGTGGCATGTCACTTCAATTTTTCTAAATTCTAGATATGAATTGCTAAAAAAACTTTATGCCCCAAAAATAATCCAACTTAATTAAAACTTTATTAACACCATGCTATGGCCATGAACAAAAAACAACAAAATAGTAATGGTGATACTGAAAAACAAATCAATCCGTATACATGGTCCAAAATACATATGATTATCAGATTCAATATATGCATACTCTAAACCTAAATATATATATATATATATAAAGTATGTCTTTAAAAGTAATAAAAATATTCTTTAACCAAAAGAATCTGACATATGTGCACAATTATGTAAAATATAGAAAAATCATAAAGCATAAGCCATTTGCATGCGCTAAACATACAGATCAGACATGAGCCACAATTCATTGGTGTTAATTAGTGCGGAAGCAAAAATAGAAGATAAACAATTGACGCCAACAATCGTCACAAAATAAATAAATACTGCAATCATAGTTGTGCATCATGAGCGAGCATTAACAAAATTAATCAAAGTGAAAAACTTTATATTT